ACATTCTGGATTTTGAGTTTTTTTGTGTTTACATTTTTTAACTTTTTGATTGCTTTGACTTTTCAGTTTTCAGGTATTTGTTTTGGTCAGTTTTTTAACAATTTTGATTTTTCGGTTTTTTTAATATATTTTTGAATTTGAAGTTGTAGACTTAAACGGTTTTTAGTTTATTTGGATTTTTCAGTGTTGCTAAATTTTTCAAGAATTTAAGTTTGCGTTTATTCAAGTTTTCCTGTTTTTATAGATTTTTTGAGTTTGAGGTTGTCGATTATGTTAGATTTTCGACTTGTAATTTTTAATTATTCTAAATCTTAACATATTCAAGTTTTCTACTTTGACGATTTTGAGTTTGAGTTTATTTTGACACTCAGGATTTTGTGTTTGAATTTTCATAAACTTTAACCAGTTTTCAGAATTTGTTTCGACTTTTCTGTTTTCAGATATTTGTTTTGCTCAAGGATTCAGCAATTTAAGTTTGTGTTCTTTTAAATTTTTCAAATTTTCATATATTTTTGAGTTTAAGTTTGTAGAGTACCTTACGTTTTTGAGTTCTAATTTTGAATTTTTTTAAATTTTAAAACATTTAAGTTTTCTATTTTGACGATTTTCAATTTGAACATTCTGGATTTTGAGTTTAAATTTACATAAAACGATAATTAGTAAGTTGCGGAAATGTCGATACTGAAAGTTTTGTGTTGATTCTGCAATGTTTCGGAATATTGGATTATACGATTGTCTAACTTGATTTCCTATTATGATGACAGACGCCATGATGACGAAAAGCTAACATTAATTAATGTGCCAGACCATCGGCAACACTAATTAGCGCAAATGTGATTAGATTTTGTGTTTTGATCGAAAATAATAATAGTGTAGGCCATTAGAAAGCGATTAGGTCGAAGATGACGTCTTGGTTGGCGTTGTAGAAAGGACACTCACCGGAATGGAGACGCCATCTGGGTCTCGGTTCGAGGGCATGAATAGTCCATTATCCTGGAGGATATGACACCAATAACCACTAACCTGACAAGGAAGAATAACGATAAATCATTTCGTCCGTGCCCTCTTTCGCCGGTCTCTAATATAAAAGAATAGAAGAAGAAGAAGAAGAAGCATATTGTTGGGTGCAAGGACGAGTTATTTATTGTTGCCTTTTATATCTCTCTTAGTGTCAGACGTTGTACACGTCGGGCATTAAAACTTGATGCTATTGTTAAGCCGTATAGTGTGCACGAAGTCGGCGTGAAATTAATGCTCAACTGTCCCGATATGAATGGACGACTCAACGTGGGTATTAAACACTCTAAGAAACTCGACGGCGAAGGCCTTACACAGGCACTAAATACTTTTTTCTTGAAAAATCTAATGGCATGATAAGAAAAATTTTGCAGAAAAAATTTGTATGTAACTAAGGCGGGGCTTTTTTCAACTGGTAACCAGTTTTACATACATTTTTCAGTTTTCAAATCTTTGTTTTGCTCAGTTTTTCTGCAATTTGAGTTTGTACCCGGTTTTTCATGTTTTTTTTTTTAATTTTAGGTTGTAGGTTACGTTAGATTTTTTTACTTCTAATTTTTAATATTTTGACGATTTTGAGTTTGAGTCTATTTAAACTTTTTTTGAGTTTGAATTTATTTCCAACTTTGTTTTTTATGTTTTTTTGCCTTTGAGGTTGTAGATTACCTAATCGGTTTTCAGAATTCGTTTCGATTTTTCGGTTTTGCTCAATTTTTCGTTTTTTTTATAGATTTTTGAGTTTGGGATTGTATATTAGGTTAGACTTTAGACTTCTAATTTTAAATTTTTCTTAATTTTAATACATTAAAGTTTTCTACTTTGACGATTTTGAGTTTGAGATTATTTAAACACTCAGGATTTTGAGTTTTTTTGAATTTACGAGTAAGTTTGTGTTTATTGACATATTTCATTTTATCATAGGTTGAAGTTGTAGAGTAGGTTAGAATTTTTTAATTTTCTAAATTTTTCGACATACAAGTTTTCTACTTTGACGATTTTCGGTATTACATTTAAACGTTTTGGATTTTGAGTTTAAATTTTTCAACATTTTGATTGCTTCGACTTTTTGTTTTCAGATATTTGTTTTGCACAGTTTTTCAGCAATTTAGGTTTTTCTAGACTTTCGACTTCTAATTTTAAATTTTTCTAAATTTTAACACATTTTTCTAGTTTGGCGATTTTGAGTTTGAGATTATTTAAACACTCAGGATTTTGAGTTTTTGTAAATTTACATAAACTTTACATTTTTTTTACTAAACCAATTTTCAGAGTTTTTTTTAATTTTTCAGTTTTCAGATATCTGTTTTGCTTAATTTAAGTTTGTGTTTATTCCAATATTTCAATTTTTCATAGATTTTTGAGTTTGAAGGTGTGTAGGTTAGGTTTTGAATTCTAATTTTTAAATTTTCTAAATTTAGGAGATTCAGGTATTTTACTTTGATATTTTCATTGTGAAGTACATTTAAACATTCTGGATTTTAAGTTTTTTTGAATTTATTAACTTTTTGATTGCTTTGACGT